TTCCTTCCTTCCTTCCTTCCTTCCTTCCTTCCTTCCTTCCTTCCTTCTTTCTTTCCTTCCTCTTCTTCCTCTTTCTCCTTCTTCCTTTTTAATTTAGATGTGTCTGATACAGGTAAAAATATTCAAGCCAGATGCCCTTTCTTCAGCAAGGTTTCTTCCGTGTCTTCTGACTAAAGTAATCACTATATATAATTTGCTGTGGTATTTGTTATGCTTTGCCCTGCTGTCCTCTAGAGTATCTAATATTAGCAGACTCTTCTTCCTAGCTCTTTCTAATTGCTTGTAATATTTTAGGGACATCTCTGCTACATATTTTATTATAAACTCTATTTTTGACTATAAGTACATCACTATTACTACTATTTGAGGCAAAATAACTTCTTTGCGATATTTTGTCGTGATCATCTTTGACTCACTATGATATATACTGACATTCATCCAAGCCATTTTAGAAACACCAGTTCTTTATGTCTTTGTGCAATGGAATACTACTCAGCAATTAAAAACAAGGAAATCATGAAATTTGCAGGCAAATGGTGAGGACTAGAAAAAGTGAGGTATCCCAGAAGCAGAAAGACACACACGGTATATATTCACTTATAAGTGAATACTGGACCTATAAGATAGGATAAACATACTAAGATCTGTATACCTAAAGAAGATAAACAAGAAAGAGGACCCGGGGTAAGCTAACCAATCCTCATTTAGAAAGATAAATGGGATGGACATTGGAAATAGGAGAAAACAAGTAACTGGACAGGAGCCTGAAAGACTCTACCTAGCAGTGTATCAAAGCAGATGCTGAGACTCATAACCAACCCTTGGGGCAGAGTTCAAGGAATCATATGAAAGAAGGGGGAGTTAGCATGACCTGGAGAGGACAGGAGCTCCACAGGACCAAAAATATCTGGGCACAGGGGTCTTTTATGAGACTGTTTCTCCAACCAAGGACCATGCATGGATATAACCTAGAACCCCTGCTCGGATGTAGCCCATGGTAGCTCAGTATCCAAGTGGGTTCCCTAGTAATGGGAACAAGGACTGTTTTTGACATGAACTCAAGGCTAGCTCTTTGACTCCTTTTCCCCACCCCCCAGGGAGGAGCAGCTTGGCTAGGCCACAAAGAAAGACATTGCAGTCAGTCCTGATGAGACCTGATATGCTAAGGTCAGATGGAAGGGGAGGAGGGTCCCTCCCAACAATAGACTTAGAGAGGGGCAAGGAAGAGATAAGGGAGGAAGGGTAGGATTTGGAAGGAACGAGGGAGGGAGCTACAGTTCGGATACAAAGTAAATAAACTGTAACTAATTAAAAAATTAAAATTTAATTAAAAAAAGAAGGAGAAAACAGGAAACAAGATAGGAGCCTACCACAGAGGGCCTCTGAAAGACTCTACCCAGCAGGGTATTAAAGCAGATGCTGAGACTCATAGCCAAACTTTGGCCAGAGTGCAGGGAATCTTATGAAAGAAGGGAAAGATAAAAAGACCTGGAGGAGACAGGAGCCCCACAAAGAGAGCAACAGAAACAGAAAATCTGGGCACAGGGGTCTTTTATGAGTCTGATACTCCAACCAAGAACCATACATGGAGATAACCTAGAACCTCTGCACAGATGTAGCCCATGGTACCTCAGTATCCAAGTGGGTTCTCTAGTAAGAGGAACAGTGACTGTCTTTGACATGAACTCAGTGGCTGGCTCTTTGATCACCTCCCCCGAGGGGGGAGCAGTCTTACCAGGACACAGAGGAAGACAATGCAGCCAGTCCTAATGAGATCTGATAGACTAGGGTCAGATGGAAGGGGAGTAGGACCTCCCCTATCAGTGGACTAGGGAAGGGACATGGGAGGAATGAGGAAGGGAGGATGGGATTGGGAGGGAATGAAGAAAGGGGCTACAGCTGGGATACAAATTGAATAAACTGTAATTAATATACAAAATAAAAATTAAAAAAACTTTGCCCGATGGAGTCCTGCATATCTTCTAGGCCATTTACCTAGTGAACTGAACTTCAGCAGTAGGTAATTTGTCTCCTATGTACTTGTACATTTAGTCTTCATTAGATTTTCTTATGAATTTTCATTTCCCTAGCTTACATTAGAACTAAGTTATGTGAGTTTATTAATTCTCATATCCTCCACATAAACCTCCTTTCTAGCATGGTTTCTATACCTTCAACCTCTCTAAAGATGCACAGCATCAGAACAGGCCTAGCGGGCATCCAGAGTCCTTGTCTTATTGTTATATCGACATGGGCCTATTTCTAACCTCTTAGAACTTGGTGATAGTCCTGCCTCTGCTAATCCAGTGTAGAAAACGAGTAGCTTGCTAGTAATCTTGAGAGATGTTCTGAGCTTCTCTTGATGAGGAATGTTGCTGTATTCTAACTCAAGACCTAGGGGAGCACATTTTGAACTTGAATCTGGTTTCCCCCTATGTCATATCCATACAGGGCTTTTGAGTCCTTTATTCCTCAGAGGGACCAGATGTATAGCTATCTTTAATGGGATTCAATGTAGAAGGCTTACCTGAGTGGTGTTAAGCACTGCTTCTAGAATTCTCTTTATGTTATACACACAGGGTTGTTTATTTTTGAATGTGATTATTTATCCTAAAAAATGTGCTTAATTTAATACAGAAAGTAATTCACTAATCACCTGTTTTAGGTTTAGGTTAGTAAGTTAAAGCATCATGTCTGTAATTCCCCAGTAGAATTTTAATTGACTTCATATTGCACATAGATTGTCATGCAAAGAACTAAGATTTTGGATAAAAGTGTATTTTTGTCCTTTACAACCGATAAATACATTTCACATCAAAGCAATGTTAAATTAAAACACATTTTTCATTTGATGGTAGTATTTCAATGTGCTGAACACTGTTGCTTGAAAATCTATATTATTTGCCATTTAAAACATTTGAAATTTAATTA